TCCCCCTCCCCCTCCCCCTCCTCCTCCTCCTTCCGGCGTCTTAATAACGCCGTGAACGCTCCCCGTGGACGGCGGCGTGGACCTGCTAACTGGCGCCAGCCTCTCTGGAAGCGAGTCGGGTGCAGCCCACCCCAGCCCGGAAAAGGAGCCGGTGGCTGCTGGTGCGCGGGCGGGCGGAGTGCGCTAAGGCAGGGCCTTCCCCGGGACGCCGCCGCTGGCGCTCCGTCATCTCCACAATGCATTATATACAACAGTGTGCAAAGGGGACCAAGGAAGAGGGCAGTGTGGGGGCTTTTCTGTTCATTACCATGGTGGGCTGCACCGCGCGGTTCTAGACGAGCCGTGGCTCTTACTAGGGAGAAAAGTTACGATCCTTCCCCTTTATAAAATTAAAATCTCAATAATAATCAAATAAGTATCATACCTTATGTGAGAATATTACAAGAGGCGAACGGCGCATCATTCCACTGGATAAATGAAACTGCCCCCCCAGGGTAAAACGTCTTGACTAAAAGATAGAAATACAGGCAAACTCCATCATCCATGACCAAGGTTTGTAGGTACACGCTGTTGGCATTTCTAAAGCTAGAAGAGTGAGGTCTTGAAGTTCATCTGGTCACACCCCTTTTTACACATGAGACACAAGCAAATGTGTGACAGCGCCCCGGAGGCCTGTGAACCAGATGTGCATTGGTCCTTCCGTGCAGGCAGGATCAAAGCGCCATCCGAAGGCCTCAGCCGTCCTTCCCTGAGCTCAGAGCCAGATTGTACACTCCTGTGATTCAGGTGGGCACATATGGGCTTCTCCCTGCTGCAGAACACCACTGCCCCCTAGCCTCGTAGGCGGGCGAGCTCCCTGCTGGTGCCCCGTGTTCTCCGAGAATGCTTGGCAGTGGTCCTCAGGGAACCCAGCTGGCTCTTGCGTGCCTGGCCACCTGGAGACACGCAGGATCACCTCCTCTGGCCAGTGCTGCTTCTCTTGTACGTCAGCCCTCCACTGTGGATTATGTGGGGACACTGCACATGTACACACCCTGAGAGGCCCCACGAAGGCTCTCAGCTGAACAGTAATGAGGTGCAGGAAAACAGATGGAACCAGAAGTCATCGTGTTTAACAACGTCAGCCACCTAGAAGAGCTAGGATCACATGTTTTCTCTCCTGTGGAGTCAGGTGGAGGAAGATGCCATGAAAGTGGAAGGGATGTTGTCCCAGGGCAGAGGCTGGGGGAACTGGAGAGGGTAGCAGAGCAGGTGGGGCCCATCAAGGCCAGGGTGTGTATATAAGAGAAATCCATTTCATTGTTCAGTGAACATGATAATTAGGATTTTTAAATTGTAAGAAAAAAACAAAGCCGACTCAACTGCGTGAACTGCTGTGCTCTAACCGGCCCGGACACTGCGGTCATCTGAGGTTTGTCACCTGCTCTGGGATCTGGGGCAGCCCTGCCCTCCTTAGCCTCTAGCTTCTGTTCTGCAGGACAGTGCTTCCAAAGTTCTTCTCCAGCCCCAGTGTGTTCCATGATTGTACTCAAAACAATCTACGAAGTATAATCACAGACAAATTAATCTGATTCCTTGGGTACTATGGAGTAAATGTATTCTCTCTGCTTTGTATTTATCAGACATAAGTGACTATGAGATAAACAGGGATCTAGTATGAGTTTTCTCTCTTTTTTTTAAGGCATGGTCCAGTGTAGAGTTATCCTGACACTGGACCATGCCTTAAAGTTCCCCTCTCTCACCCCAGCTTCACCATGACTCAGAGGACAAAGGCAGGTCGTAATAGTCAGTAACATTTTACAAACATATCTGGAAGACAGTTGGAATTTGTTTAATTTTTTAAATCATATTTTTGCTATTGTTGGTCTCATTGTTTTGTGAAGGCTACTGGCATAATCATTTGGTCATCATTCAAGAATAAAATAATGTTATGGGGTAAAGTTCAAAGTACTCCCTTATAGTCTAGCTTCTAAATTCAGGATTAAAGAACTAGATTCGGTACAGATCCCTCTGGCGTGTCTTCCGCAGGCAACAACTCTGGCGTGCTCGCCCTCCTCGCTCTCTGCTGCCATGGGGACCGTGGATGGCTACGTGTACTTCCTGGACGTCCGCAGTGTAGAGTCCCCCAGGGTGGTCCACAAGGCCTTCCTCTCCCAGGCGCCGGTGCAGCACCTCACGTAAGCACTAGAGGCCAGTGGTGTTTTGCCAGGCCTGTCCCCGGAGGCACCACTGCCACTGCCACTTTTAACCGCTGCGTTTGGTTCTAACAGTAAAACGCTCACCCAGTGTAATGTTCAGAGAGTACAGAGGAGTGCAGGGAGACATCCCTGCCGCCGGCTCTCTCCCTGGAGGCGCGCCTGTCCCGGTCTCCTGCCCCCACCCCCGGCAGGGTGCCAGGCACCCCAGCTTGGGCCTGCTGAGCTCCGGGCGCTGCTCCCCACTGTTCAGGTGGGGCGTTCACTAGGTTGCTCTGTGTGACCCAGACAGGATGTGCGCCGGGCCCAGGGTCTCTGCACTGCTTGCACGGCAAGCTCTGGAGCTCCTTCCCCCCACTTAGGGGTATGTACTGAAAAACATTGCACACAACTTCTCTCGTTTTTCTTTACAGTGATAAGGGATTCCAGAATGTATTTCTTTTCTTTTTATCTTACACAAACTGCATGTTGATGGACATTTGGATTGTTTCAAATCATCTGAAGCAGTGTTTTAAGGCACGGTGGTAGACAGACTGAATGTGGACTGCGTGCTGCTGCTATTCTTCCGTATTGCAGCTCCTTGAATGGGACTCTGAAACGCTGGGCAGAAAAAGTAGGGCGCCCCCTGCTGGGTTAGGGAATTCAGCTCCAGAGAAGGGACAAGAGGCACTTGCCCACATGTCACAGGGGGGCTGGGCTGCCATCTTCCAGGGGCTCCTGCCCACCTCTAGCTTGGGCTGGGGGGTGGCTTTTATCCCCCTGGCCACCCCAATCCTATTTTCTCTTCTTTCTCAGATCCCTGTATCTTATTCTGATTTGTATATTTCCACTTCTTCCAACTTGAGGAAATGGCAGAAACGTTTTCCTGCGTTTGTCCTCTTCATGTTGGGTACAGGTCATAGGGTACTGCAACATCACATCCATCACTAATTGGGGAAGTATTTGTTTCCACTTGAACTTTTAAGAGAGCTCTACTGACGTTGTTCATTCATGGTGAAGTAATTGCCCACCTTCCTTGAGCCTGCTCGACTATGTTTTTTAAGTTGTAATTTGGAATAGAGTAGAATGATTTATCCCTCAGCCTTCATGAAGTCAGAGATTATGAAAAATGACAGACCATAAAAATGACTGGCTTTGAGCCTTTTTAACCAAGATGATGCCAAAGGCAGAGAAGGAAGCCCCTGCCCCTCCCAAAGCTAAAGCCAAAAAAAGGGCTTGGAAGGCCAAGAAGACCATGCTGAAAGGCATCCACAGCCACAAAAGGAAGAAGATACGAACGTCACCCACCTCCCACCATCCCAAGACACTGCAGTTCTGAAAGGAGCCCAAGTACCCTCGGAAGTGCGCCTCCAGAAGAGACAAGCTGGAGCACTAAGCCAGCATCAAGTTCCCCTGACCACAGAGTCAGCCATGAAAAAGATCGAGGACAACAACACACTCATGTTCATTGTGGATGTCAAAGGCAATGAGCACCAAATCAAACAAGCTGTGAAGAGGCTCTATGACATCGATGTTGCCAAAGTCAATATCCTAATTGGCCTGATGGAGAGAAAAAGGCATATGTTTGACTGGCTCCTGATTATGATGCGTTGGATGCAGAGCCCAGGCCTGGAGTGACTGGGTCAGCCTGGGGCCCCCCAGATCCTGAATGGACCCAGGGCCCAGGCCCGGTGTGTGAGTGAGACCACCCAGGGCCTGCCGGATCTTCATTCAAACCAGCACCCAGGCCAGGCATGTGGGTGGAACTTCCTCCATCAGACAGGCCCTGTGTGGAGCCCTGCGGCAGAACTCCCTGTAGAAAGGCTAGAGACAAGAGCCAGCCAGCTGATCCAGGAGCAGAACATCTTGCCAGAGTGGCACAGTGGATTCACTTCCAAGGGCTGCAGCAGGAAGAAGTGGACACTGCAGCCAGACCCAAGCCACACCCACCTGGATAAGTTCGAACTTGGTAGATCTGGACCTGGTGCTAAGGTAATAACTCTATCAAAGCTCTACCAAAGGTCAGAAGACAGTGCTATACAAAAGGACAAAGAGAAGGAGCAAAATGCATTCTCAGGCCCTGAGCCCACCCAGAACAAATGCAGGAGACAATAGCATAGAAGAAATTGGAAATCACACACTGGAAATCTCTGAAATAATAGCATCTGAAGTAAAGAAACAACTGCAGAAAGGTATAGAGGGAGTCAGATCAGAAAGAATTTCTGAAGTAAAAAAAGAAATGTTAACTATAACAATATACTTTAGAAGTACTAAGTGCTTTATAGTTATATGCATAATAACTATAGGAGACACTAATAAAAATAGAGGAAAATAGAAAAATGATGGAATTCTTGAATGAGCAATATAGGAAAGAAACAGAATGCATGAAGCAGATTCAAAGTGATACACAGGAAATTAAAATCTCAAGCACAAGCTGGCAAAACCGTTTGAATGAAAGTGAAAATAGACTTTCAGACCTTGAAGACACCACTGCAGCTAGTGAAAACGTAAGAAAAGACCTCTTAAAAACAACTAGGATGCAGGAAAAAAATAATTCAACATCTGCAAGACAATGCAAAGACAAACAACGTAAGACTAATAGGCATCAATGAGAAAGATGGAGTTAATACAAATAGTATAAAAAGAATATGGGCAGAAGTAATAGCAGAAAACTTCCCAAACATGGGGAAACAATCTGACATTCAAGTAACCCAAGCATATAGAACTCCAAATAACATCAACCCAATTAAAACCACACCCAGACATACAGTAATCAAGATCCCAGAAATTCAGCACATTAACAGTATACTAAAAGCCACTAAAGAAAAGAAACAGATCAATTTTTTTTTTTTTTTTTTTTTTTTGGTGGAACCAGGGATTGAACTCAGACCCTTGCACTTGCCAGGGAAGCGCTTATTCTACTGAGCCATCTCCCCAGCCCTAGATCACATTTAAAAGAAAACCCATTAGAATAATGGCAGATTTCTTTTCACAAATCATCAAGTCAAGAAGAGCATGGAGCAAAGTACTTCAAGTCTTGTAAGAAATCAAATTCCAACCCAGACTACTATACCGTGCAAAACTCTCTTTCAAGTTTAATGGAGAAGTGAAATACGTCTATGACAAAGAACAACTAAGGAATGTCATGATGATAAAGCCAACCCTACAGACTACTCAAAGAGATTCTAGAAGGGGATCAAAATGACCACAACTCCATGAATGAGAATGGAAAGAACCCACCAAACAGGGCAAGCAAACACAGGAGAAAAAGAGGTATACAACAGCAGTCTTTCAATTATTCTCTTGTATACAGCAGCAAAATATTTCCATCAGCACACTCTACAAATGGACTTCTCCTGCACCCTGTGGGTCATGATTCTATCCAGCTCTACAGGGTGGATATCAAGGAAATAGCAGTAGCTCAGTCCCACAAGTGACACCTGGCCACCAGTAAGCCGCTGTCCATATCCATGACATACTAGAACTTTGTGTGATATCCTGTCCCCAAACTATTAGAAGTGCTGGTCATATATTTGCCATTCTAGTATTTATGTTATGTTTTATTCTAATTCTTTACTACCATGAAAACTTTTTCTTAGTTGATATTTTTGTCTATTAACCTAATCAAATACTTTGTGAATACTCTGAATTAATCACAGATTCATACATATGATACACTACATTCTGGCCTCTTAGTTGGGCTCACGATTTAATTTTAATTTTAGAATATCATTTTGAAATATTTAATTTAAATTTTAATTGAGATTTAATTTTCTGAAAATTGTTTAATCTTTAAGATTTATACTGTATGTTTGACCTACAGCTTACTTATAAGACATGGTATGTTATTTTCTCCTAGCATTAGAAACTTTGAAAAGTATATTTCCACTTTTCATTGATTTTATATCACTTCTTCCTTGTCTTTAACACACACATACACACACACACACGAAAAAATATGTATCAATACTATAAGATTGATAGTGTTGTGTAGAAACCTTCAATGACCTTTTAAATGGGTTCATCTAATGTGTTTTACACAGTCCTGCATAACTGCCATCCTAAGAACACAATGAGGACAGATTCTTTTTTCTTTCAGTCCTTCAAATTAATTAGTCTAGTTTCTTACCAACTTGCTCTTTTTTTTTTCTAATGTGGAATAAGATGCTATTTAATTTTGTTCTTCCATAAGCTAATTTTTTATGTATATGCTTTAATGATTTTTTTCTTTACAGTTAGTTTTGGACAATTTCATTTTTGTGTAACTTGGTATGATTCTTTTCAAATTTCTTATGAAAAAGTTCATTTTTCTTGGAAATGTGATGCTATAATTTCAACTAAATTCAAAAATTTTAAATCTTTAAATGTTTATTGCCACCCCTTTCTACTTTGAGAATTCTAATTATATGAATATAAGTTTCTTGATTTTGGCACAGAGTGAACTATTATATGACTGATTTTTAAATTTTTCATTTTTATTCTAGATAATTTTTATTGTTATATTCATTTGAGTTTGTAAATAATCTATTTACAATGTGCTAAAAATAAAAATTTTTAAAAAACCTACACATTTAAAAGCACACACACACACACACACACACACACACACACACACAATGATGCACTGGATGTTGGCAACAAAATTGGGATCATCTAAACTGAGTCCAGCTGGCTAATTCTAAATACATACTTTTTTCCCCATAAAAATGAATGACTGCCCCTGAATGTGCTTCCATGGCAATTCATGCAGCAAACTTGCTTAGCATCTAGCTGGCGAAATAAGTAAAATTTGATTGTCAGATTGCTTCTTTCTAGATACGACCAGCGCGGAATGTACCTGCTAGTGGGAACATCAGAAGGAAGCATCTTTGTTATTGACGCCAGACCCACGAGGTCATTTCAGGTCCTTGGGTTCACAGGTATGGCTGGGGATATTTGCTAATTTTAAATGTCAGTTGCTTTATTCCAAAAAATTAAAGGGTATGAAAATGGAACTATGGCAAAACAGTTCTGTGGCATATTTTGTTTTTCTTTTTCTTTTGAGGGAAGGATCTGCAGGGTTTTCAGGGTCTCACTACTAGATCGGACTTATAGTGATCTGCCTGTTTACAGCCTCCCAAGAGCTGGCACCCAGTCTCAATGTGCTCCAGGGGCTGGGCCAACGTGGCAGGCCTGGGGATCGAACCCCCTGCCCCTGAGCCTGCTTACAGGCTCTTTACTCTGCTGAGGTATTTGGCCAGCCCTTGTGGCATATTTTCTACAAGAAAAACACTTAAATTACAGCAGTCCCTTACTTATCACGGGGGTGTCGTTCTGGGTGTCATTCCAGACACCCCTGCAATAAATGAAAATCAGCAAAGTAGTAATATTATATTGATTTTATATGTATATACACATATATAGGGTTTCTAAATCCTTCCCACATACTCTGGTTTCTCTTCAGATCGTATAAATCTTTCGCCTTTTACTAAATCCTTCCCACACTCTTATAAAGCTTTCCCACACTTTTAAAAACACTTCTAATGTTCCTAAGCATTTTCTAAACTTATAAACCTATGTAATTTTAGCAACCCATATAAACTGTACAGTATAGTGTGTATTCACCCACTCATACTGTAAACAGTGTATTTTATTTCAATTTAATCTTTTAATATGTTAGAATTAGCATTTTAACATGTTTTACATATTTTACATTTTTAAGCAAAAATCATTAAAACCATAAATACTGCACATATAAATATGTATACAGTACCAAAAATCTTGAAATATAGAGAAAAATCTTCAATAAATAATTTGAATATTTTTTTCAAAACCCATGAAACAGTGAGTCCACGAAAGTCATAGTGACCACACAGAAGTGATGTGGGAGAGTACCCATGTTGTCTTTAGAGGTGTTTGGATAACTAGCGGTATCTGCTTAGAACATAGTTGATGCTAAAGTATTTTCTAACATCAGCTATTGAATTAAATAATGAAATACCTGGACATTGCTGATCTTGGATCTTGCGGGCAGAGCAGAGGGCTCCATGGGCCACAAGAGGACAAGAGGTGATTGATAGTGCACGGTCCAGCAGAAGGAGTGGGCTCATCCTCACAGATCGGCCATGAGTGTCAGGAAACAACGGGGAGAGGAGGGAGACAGAAGACAACTCTGGGTGAGGGTCCAGGCTGCGTTGCTGCATGAGGCCTCTTCCTCCTGGAGGAGGAGGGAAGGCCATTGGCCTGGGCTGAGAAGGTGGTGCCTGGGAGGAGGCTCCAGGCACCCCAACTCCGGCTGAGGTAGGCAGAGAGAGGCTTCCAGATGCAGTCTCAGGTGGTGTTTCCTCCGCACCAACAGCCCCTGGCCACATAAGGAAAGAACTGTGATGGGGAGAGAAGACAAACTGGTGAGGAGCCAGAGCAGCAGGGGCCCGCTGAGGGGACCCCACGCCAGGCGGGAAAGGCATGGGCCACCTGAGCTGCTTGGAATCTGTTGGCCGAGATATCTCATCAGAAGAAATCCACTAGTTCATCAAGGACTGCATCACAGCCAGGCACGAGAGCACCAGCTTGTGATGCCAGCGCTCTGGGAGGCTGAGGCTGGAGGGTTGCAAGTTCAAGCCCAGGCTGAGCGCAAGGACCCGAGTTCAATCCCTGGTAACACGTGCTGAGCTGGCCCTGGATGTAGCCTGCAATCCCAGCGCTCGGGAGGCTGAGACAGGAAGATCATTATGAGTCTGAATTGCGTAGTGAGACCCTGTATCAAATAAATAAAATAAAATAACTTTTTAAAAATAAAAACCAAAAGGGATTGGGGACAGAGCTCACTGCAAGGCCCTGGGTTCAGATCTCTGTACCAGGGGGTAAAAAGTTCCTGTTACTTACCTTTAAAGGTCACTTTGAATTTGATTATCAGCAAGTAAATTTGGTTCTAAAGATTGTGTGACGCACCTACAATATTTAAATGGCAATGGAATACCCATCTCTGACAAAACTAAACAAAAAAAGGGGATACAAATGAACAACCATTTTGTATCTGTATATCGAAAATAGGATAGATGTACAGCTACTTTCTCTTAATTCAATGAGAAGAAAGATTTGTACTAATAGTGTTTGGACAGGATGTCATGTCTGCATCTTGCGCTATGAATAACCACTAAGAAGACAACAATATGCTATGTATTAATTATTGAAACTGTCCTACTAGTCAGTTTTGAAACTGTCTCATTGCTATTTGTTTCTCAATAAAATTATTAACCAAAAAAAACAAAAAAACAAAAACTGAATGAAATCTCTCTTTTTTTTTTTTTGGCGGAACCTGGGATTGAACTCAGGCCCTTGCACTTGCCAGGGAAGCACTTATTCTACTGAGCCATCTCCCCGGCCCCAAAAATACTTTTTTTTTTTTTTTGGCAGTACCGGGGATTGAACTCAGGCCTTTGCACTTGCCAGGCAAGTGCTTATTCTGCTGAGCTATCGCCCCAGCCCCTCTGGAATCTCTAAGGTGATACCTTAACGGGGCGGCAGGAGTCTGAACTGGTTCCTGACCTTTGCGGGTTGGTTCCCTTTGTTTTCAGAGGTGAGCAAGGATCTTCTACAAATATCCACCTTGTCCCTTTTGGGAGCGAATATCGTGAGAGTGACAGCGCTTTCCTCGCTTCCAGAAGCAGAAAGAAGCAGTCTGGCAGTATTCACTCTGCCTATAAAACTACAGTCAGGTGCGAAGAGAGGAAACCCCCCTTCCCCCTCCCGTCCTGGCCAGTTGAGCTGTTGCTCTGGTTTGATTCCGGTTTGTCTTGCTTTCGTTTGCTCTGAGCGGGCTCTGGCCCCAGCATTTTTTCTCTCAGTATGTGGACAGGTAAGATGGCTACTTTTGTGTGTCTTTACGGAGTGAAACTGGCGTGGTTGCTAAATAATTTGAAATGTGGACTTTCTTCCCCGCCTCGTAACTCAGGAGCCTACTTCATCATTAGATGCGGGACCAGGTGAGGCTTGTGCCAAATTCATGTGTAACTTTGTGGTATTTCTGGTTTTATAACCTTAAATACACATAGTTAAATTCAGATAGCTCACAGAGCAGTCACCTTTGCTGATGAAATTGTAAAGCAAGCTTTCTGGAGCAGATGGGACCAGGAAAGAGGCATTCTTTATTTTAGGTGATAAATGTATCTGGTTAGTGCTTGTGCAGGCATGTAATTACAGAGTAGCAGAAAAAAACCTCCAAGTGCTTTGATGTTTTAATTAGTAATCTCTGTACTATCACAAGTTCATTTTAATATTTCTTTAAATTAATCAATAATATTAACCACAGTCTACAAAAGATATTTTACTTGTGAGCAGTCATAAGGATTTCCAGTGAAGGTACATTATTTTAAACTTATTTTTATCACAAGTAGTCTCTACCGTAGTAATCAAGTATTTAAAAATCTTTGTTTTGGTATCCATATTAACTTAATGACTTAAAATAGGAAATCACTATGTCCAAGTGATCTCTCTGCTTTGCCAAATATTATGCTTCCTACAGCTACTGCCGACGAGAGAGGGAGGCTGAAAGATGAGCTCATTCACAAGCACCTGTACGAGATAGAGCACGCGCTGTCTTCTGCGGTCCTGGACTTTCAAAGTAGCCGAGTACTCGGGTTCTGCCACCAGGTGCCGTACATCTGTAGCTATCAGCTTCCCGAGAAGGTATGCCATGCCTTAAGCATGTAGTGTTCATCTTAGCAGTCACGTGTGCATTGTATAATTAGGCCTGACCCTCTTGACTAGTTAACAACTGGTCTGATGGCGTTAATGTCATTCCCTTGAGCCAGGTGCGTGTCAGGGTTATTTGTTAATCCATCATTAAATGTAGTTGAGCGACCCCACTCCTGAGCCACGCTGGTGCCAAGTACATCATACTGGTCAGATAGACGTACAGGTGACACCATAATATTGCCTTAAAATATATCTAACGCTAGAAACTCAATGCCGTAGAGGCCGAGGACCAGAGTGGCCGGCGCCAGTGGAGCTGTGCGCATTAGCCCCAAGCAGAGTTGCGCCATATTGAAGGACACTTCTCTCCTTCCGCCGCTGTGGGGCACACTCTGCTTGGGTGATCCCCTGCTCCCTGTCCTTCCTTCCCTGGGCCATGCAGGGTCCCTTTAATGCCTGTCTTTGGGTCCCTGGGGTATCCACCTCCTTGTCTTTCTACCGTTTTCAAGCAAAGCCTTTTCCTCCCAGTGTAGCCAGTATTAGACACTGAAATTGGGAAGAGAGACAAGTGGCTCATGGCAAGGGGATTTCTAGAAGAGTTGAGTGGAATCAAATCAAATCTGGATTTGGAGAATAGGTTAGCCTTAGACACAGAGAGATAGTGTGTGAGGTCTGGGGTGATGCTGGTATCGGCAGTGGTCAGGACTGGGGGTATAAGGTGAAGAAGGGCTTTCCCAGAAGTGTGGGACAGACATGTGGTGAGCATGGTGATTACTTTATTTAGACTTGCCCATGAGGATGTGTGAAAATGACTGGTAAAAATAAAGGTTGATGTGTAGGTGGGCTCTCGAATGGCACATGAACATAAAAAGAGGACTTTGCTTAGTTAGCAAAAACACACTCATTTGTACACGGACTACACACATGCAGCGCCCAGCTGCCGGCTCCACCCAGCCCGGGCTCGTTTCCAAGCACCGTATGCACGCATGTGGATCTGACAGGCACACCGCGAATGCCTGCAAACCCCGTGGCTGCCTGCCTAGTCTTTGCTGCAATGGGGTGCTTTTCTTTGATCAGCAGGGACACAGAGGCGTGTGCATTCTTAAACCGAGCCAAAAAGTACAGAGCAAGCACTACGGGCCTGGCACGCTCCACTTGTCTTCACATGGGCTGTGGCTTCTCACCGTAGCTAAATGTGGAACACTGTGTGTCCGCGATGCATACACCTTGGTGAGTTCCTTGCCTTTTTCAGTTAATTTTTATTGTCATTTTATTTTGTAAAGAGAATACAAAATAGTAATAAAAATTAGAAATGGTACCAAATTTCACTATGCAAAATGAGTTTAACAGTATTTGTCATATTACATAGCGTTGTCTTCAACTTAGTTCTTCAGATTACCAGATATATGCATGAAAAATTGGAAAAAGAAAAAAAAGTTATAAGAAATTAAAAAGAAAGAGGAAAAAAATGAAAAAAGAAGACAAAAAATCTTAAGCATGAACTGCTCCTTCTCTGGGGTAAATTCCTTTTGTAAAACAGGCATTGGGTACGCATATGGGTTCCAGATTAGGAACAGAAGCCCTTGGGTGATGAATCAGAGCCTGCTCTAGTCGGCTCAACTTTTCTGTAATCAGAAAACATCAGTGAACAACGTGTTACGGGCAATTTGTGCCTGTGTTAGCCTCCCCAGTGTAGGACACTCTGACCAGGAGCCTGAAATCCGCAGGCTCAGGGCGGGGCGCAGCAGGAGCTCCAGCCTCACTCTCTGCCTCTTCCGGGTCCTGGACACCCCGGGAGCCTCACAGAATTCCAGTTGCTCAGAGGATCCTGGAGGGCAAATGGCAGAGAGCTCTGCATACCTCTGCCCTGCCTTAGGGCCGTGACTGGGGGAGGCTGGAATTGCCGAGGTTTCCTGGCTCCCACTATCCTCAGACCCAAGAAAGTGGAAGTAGTTGCTGCTCCTCAAGGTTTGGGGATCCCCTCCTAAGTGAGGTCTGTGGTTCTTACCCAGTGTCCCAGACCCACACCGGAGCATTCTGGTCACCTGCAGAGAACTCCCTTGAGTCAGTAGCTAACCTGGCTCCTGGCTGGTGCGGCCCTGCTGTCTTGCTCATCTCTTAAAGAAAGCACGTTTGGACAAAAGTGATCTATTGAGAGGGGGAATATCAAATCCCTTGGAGATTATCTTAAAGTGAATGACGTGCAATCTGCTGCACTGCCTGTTATTCAAGAAGCTGTACTGTCCCATGTCCCTCCTTGTGGCCCACTGTGACGAGGGGTCGGAGTTGTGAGGTAGGTCTACGACCTACACTGGGCCACCGAGCACCTCGTGGATGAGGCTGCTTTGGGTAGCACTGCTCTCAAAACCAAGCCAAAGGCCATGAAAAGAAGTCTTGGTAAATAAGAATTTATCATGGTACAAAACCAGTACATAGGGCCAGTGGGCTAGCTCAGTGGACTAAGTGCTTTGGCAAGCGCAGGGACCAGGGTTCGATTCCCAGTCCTGCATGCCGCGCTGGCCCCGCCCTGGGGATACACTGAGCCAGTGAATGAGTGCGGGCCTGGTGGTGCGCTCTAATCCCAGCGCTGGGAAGGCTGAAAACACGAGATGCACTACGAGTCGGAGCTGGGTAGTGAGACTCTGTACCAAATACACAAATGAAAAATGAGTACATGAGTACAGCATGCAATATTATGTAGCCATGATACAGAGTGAGGAAATCTTTGTGTAATGAGATGTTGTGGGGCACCAAGGACATGCGTTTCTTACCTAAATTATCTAAGAAATGGATATAAGCATAGTACCTCCGAGAGATACTGACAGTGTGTTGATTTACTTGCACCAGGTATTGGAACCTGGAGACAGAAAAGAGTTCAGGGCACACCTTTGATTTTGAACTTAGATGGATTTGAACATGTGCATGTTCAAAGAGCTAACTGGAAAGGGCTTGTGCTCAGGGGCCCTTGTGACGCAGAAACCGCAGTCCTTCGCTATAGTGAAGGACCCGGAGCTGGTGTCCTGTGCACCTCCGTGGGCGGAGGCCCTCCTGGTCTGTCGGGCTGGCTCGGCTCCGGTCCTTCAGGGCCAGCTGTCCGGCCCTTTTCGCAGTGCCGCCCCCTCTGGCCTCACACCGGCCCCTGCGCGCCAGGGAGCCTGCCTGCTTCTTGAAGGCACCAGGACTCGCCGTCTGCACTCGCTCGGGCTGACTCCGCAGCCCCCAGCCGGCGCGTGCACCTCTTGGTGTCTGCACGCCCACTACCTCTCTGTGGCCACGAGCCCTCTCCACGCTACGCCAAGCAGCAGGAGAGCAAGCCAGCACCGGCGAACGGGTTCCATGTGGGAATTAGGTGCCGGCCGCGTGGTCCCCAGAGCCTGTTGTGCACCAAAGCGCTACGGTGCTGTGAGCACATACTCGGGCAAACCAGCACGCAACCTGCTAGGAAAACCGCATGTGCAGCTGCGTTTGTAACTTCTCCGCTCTGTCTCTGAAATTCTCGAGGAAACATTTGCTCGGTGTCGGAGTCACTCCCACCAGGGGCACGGGATTCAGTCCGTGAGGATTTCAGTGGATGGACAGAGCGTGCTGGTCAACGGGAAGGACGACGGCACCCTGGTCCTCCTCAAATGGAAGTAGGTGCAGCGCACAGTAAGCAGCAAGCCCCGCATGTGTCGCCCTAGAGCTTCATTGTTACATAAGCCAGCAAAGCGAATACACCAGCAGGCAGCTGCTACCAAAAAGACAGCGTGTTAGACTCCGGATTCCCAGACAAGAGGCCACGCCCCCACAGGGGCCACACGGGAAGCATGGGGTGGGCCAGGCGGCAGGGGAGTGGGAAATGTGGGCAGGAGGCTTGGTTTCCCAAAGGAGGATTGGGCAGGTTTCGGGTGGGTTAGTCTGTAAATGCAGGCAGGATCTGGGGCCTAGGGGCTGGGAGCTGGGCCTGGGGAGTGGCAGCCCTCCACCAAGCTGGCTGCAGTGTGGGCTGTGGGCAGGCTGACTGTGACCGCGACCTCCAGAGTGAGCGATTGCTGTGTCTGGGACCAGCCCGGCTCTGGAGCGGTGGGTCCCTGGGGGTGGGAGAGGGGCCAGAGGCAAAAGCCTCCAGGTGCGTACTACAGAGAGGGATAGTCAGGATGTGTGGGGTGAGCAGGCCGATCTGCTACATCTGCTGGAGGGTCTGCTGGAGGGCGACAGGGGATCCGGACAGCCGTGGAGGCGGGACAGCTAAACACTTCCGTTTATCCCTCAGAAACCTGGTATGTGCGTGGGCGTGCATGTAGGCGTGTATGTAGGCGTGAATGTGTGTATGTGTGAACGCATACATTTACTTACTAGTTAGATATTGCTTAGATGATATTAATTTGTTTAGATTCGATTTGCTTAGACTAAAATTAAAATTCTGAACATGTCGATGCTACCTATTCATACCGACGATGTCCAGCGGTAGAAAGCGTGCAGATGACACACAGTGTTGCCTGGACCCTGCATTTGCCTGGTTTTATCTGCTGGTGGACATCACTTATCAGTGTGTGATTAATTTCAGCAAAAAATATTTCCCAATATCTCCTGTACCTTTCTTGGTAACCTAGAGAAAACATTAGCGATTGTGGAGCGTGTTATTGTAACCATTTTGGTAGTCACTTATTTCACAGATTCATTTGAGAACTGTATCATCATGCCCATTTTACACATGGAATCCTAAATACATACAAACTTGTATCTTACTAATTAATAAACCCTAACATTGCCTTCGGAGTCCATGAGCAGATGGCAACTCAGGTAACAGCAAGCAGGGACAGGAGGTGGGAGCCCCATTTATAGAGATAAGGACTCGTCCAGCTAGCAGTCCGCACCTGATGTCTGACTCCAGCCATGCTGGGCTTCACACCCTGGCCCAGGATGTGCGAGCTTGTGGCCTTGGGCCTGTGACAAGCCCTCCAGTCGTGGAGAGCAGCACCTGCCCTCTCAACTGCTGGAGCTTCTAAGTGTCCGCTAGGAGTGCAGGCCCTGTCCTGACTTCTGCGTTGGCAGGTACACGAGTGTGGCCCAGAATGAGTTTGCCCAAACCCTCCCGGTGGGGATGTGTCTGAGGTTCGAGTGGCCCTGCTGTGCTGCGTGGAGGTGACCCGCCCCCCAGAGTTGCATGGTGGTGCTTGTGCGAGTAGCGCAGTGCATTCTGGGCCATGCAGGGGGTGCGCACCCCACAGAGACGAAGCTCCTCATGCCCCAGAACCAGCAACAGGTTCTCCTGTAGGAAGTCAAGCTCTCGTAACTCCATGGTTCCCCGGAGCACTGCACACCTGTTTCTTCACATAGAGATGATTAGGTACCAGGAAACAGCACTGCTAAATGTGATTTCTTTTAAAATCATGGCTTTGTGATCTGTGTGTCTTGTTTTCTATTAATATAGGAGGCTTGCAGGAAATTTAGTCAGTGAAATTATTGAATACTGCCACGAGCTATTGACATCTCTGAACAGCAGCATAGAAGAGCAAAATAATTATTTGAGTTTAGTGAGACTTACCTCGGAGCTGGAACAAGAATCTGAGCATGCAGTTGAGTTCTGCCACGGCTTACTTGCTTTCGGGGGGTGGCGGCTGTAGATCGTGAATGAATTTTCAGCTTGTATTTTGTTTAAGCACATATTTAATAATGCTTCTCCCTATTCATGTATCCCGTGGTTGTTAACGAGCATATTAGCTGCCCCGGAACGCAAATGTTCAGTCTTCCTCCACGTGGCCGCCGACAGCATAGTTACTTAGACCATAGCCCAAGATCGGGATGTGACTGGCTTGGAGAGAGTGGGTCCTAAGGAGCTGGGGAAGAAAGCAGAAGGCAGGGAGAGGGGGACCCGGGAGAGCGCAGGAGAATGGGGGTGACATCACAGCCTGCCCTGCGACGGTGAGCTGCAAAGAAGAGTGCAGAAATGGAGTGACACGGACGTGGATGTGTCGGTCAGTCCAGAGAGGTTTCCTGAGACATTAAGGGATGTGTGGGTGTCAGAGAAGCAATGACACAGAGGGAGGCTGGGGGAGTGGACAGCTCCCAAGGAGGAGGGGAGACTCAGACGCTCTGCCCAGATGGCAGGGCAGGCCTGGGAGGTGGGCGTGTGGTCCACGGCAGTGGGCAGGCGTGTGACGCCAGGCCTGCGTGGCCACGTGGCCGTCTCTGCCTTCTCAACAACTTGCCAGTTCCTTGCAAAGTGTGGTGGCCAAACAAGGACTGCTCTGGCAGCACCTCATGCAAGCCTTGTATTACTAGTCTTTGGACCCTTTTATTTCTGTGATCAGGACAGACGTGTAAGAATTAGGGACCTGAGCCACTGCATCTCCAGCAGGCATGTAGCTGGTGTTTCAAACACGCAACAAATGCAAAGGGATTCAGTGAAGTTATATGAAGTGAGGAGGACTTGATGAGTGTATAACTGAAAAACTGTTTGCCTTCTTCAGACAGGCCAGAACAGGCTGAGCACTGACTCGTCACAGGAGGAGCTGCTTTTCCCCAAGAGTAACACGGAAATTCCCTGGATACAAGTAAAAAGCAAGGAGGTATTTATCAGACATGGGGTGGGCTTGCGGTCATGTTCTTTGATGTGCCAGATAGGCGAAGTTCCTGCGGAGGCCGAGCGGAAAGCCAGAGGGCTTGGTGAGATGCTGCCAGGCAGGGCACGCTCTAGAACAAATGTGGCTTTCCTGGAAGTGAACAGACACGCTCCACACAGGCCTGGCTTGTAGGCTAAGGTAGATGGACTCCAGGGACAGCACTTCAGCTGACAGGAAGCCCACAAGGCTTCCAGGCAAGCCGAGGTGCTGCGGTGCCTGTGGTGGAGTGGCTTCTGAGGGGCGTTCCACCAGAAGCACAAGCCCAGAAGGGATGCTGGGGCTTCAGGTGTCACCAGGGCGACACAGGCAGCAGGATAGCGGCCGTCTGTGTGGATTCAGCCATCGTGTAGCTTTGGCCAAGTTCCCAATCAAAGCGGGTGTTTTGGGTCAGTTATTCGTCACTTGGCTTTTCTCTTCTTACCTTCTTGCAGGCCGCTCTGGCGGCCGCCCGCATGGTGTGGATTTAGCCGGGCACTGCCCAGGTGTTATTCCCATGCACTTTGTATTGTTGATCTTCGGGGCATTTTATTTACACTTCCGGAGAAGTCTGCCCAGGTGTCTGTCACCGTGTTTCCATCTCTCCCTGCTGTTTCTCCTGCTTTGTGAAATGACGCGCTTGCTCCATTTCAGGCCATCGAGAAGGAGGTCAGGCTGTTTTCCCAGAAAAGGAAAGCGATCAAAAGTGGAATCAAAGAGCTTGCTAAAACCGTAAGTCTCACGGTTTCAGACTGAAGTTACACTTCTAGCTTTGTCTTGTTCAACAGTGTGAGGAGCCGCACCCCCGTTTCCTGTCTGTTAGCTGAGGTTTCGGGGTACCTCAACAGGGTCAACCTCGCCATGCCACACTGCGCAGGAACACTGGCTGTTTCCTCTGTCTTTTCCAGCTACTCTGCCTCATGTAGTAACAATTATTCTTATTAAAGGTATACATTTATTTTTTATAAATACCAAGCACTCTTTAAAGAGACCAGCTGTCCAACTAAAGACCTGTCCCTCTTTAAGCCTGGCTTTCTGAGTCTCAGAGAAAATCCTTTCAGGGTCTTGGTATCTTGAACAAAGACTTGGAAAAGACCCGGGAAAAATGCAGCACGAACTCACATTTATTGAAGGCAGAAGAGAGTTGTACTCTGCAGTGTGAGGCTGGGCCAGTGGAAAGCAGCCAGAGGCAGGGGCCGTGGCGGTGGAAAGCAGCCATGGCAGCCACAGGGGCAGGCGCAGGGGTCTTATATATTCTGTTCCTAGTTCGCATGCCCCCCACGTGAACAAGGCATTTGGAACAGCTGGCCTATCCGAAACTCACCTGGCCCGACGTCAGATTTAAACCGTCCTATCAAAGGCTGCTGGGCTCTGCGTCCCATATAAATGGAGAAGGGAACATAGAGCTTTCTCATTGGCCCAGCCAGGCCCAGGAGCTGGCACTGTCGCCTGGATTCTGCCTTCTGGGTCTCCGTGACTGACGCCACGTCCCCCTGCTCAGCCAGTTTGCCCCCTCCCGTCTCCCACTCCCTGCCACTTTGCTCTCCTAAAAAAACTGATGCCCAGGCGGAATGACTCACAGAGCTGAGCAGAGCACTAGAGCTCAGGAGAGGCCAGAAGGCTAATGTTTGTACTGGCTCAGAATGTACTTACATACTTCGTTGGTGCTACATGCCCGTACTGCTATATATTCATATATATATATGTATATATATATATATATATATATATATATTCCTGTTAACAGCTCAGTCCTTTATTAACTCACACACACACACACACACACACACACACACGTAGATCACTTCTTAGCCTCTATCTCCCATCTAAGGTGACAGGTCTAAACTGTGAAAGACACCAACAGGCAAGCAACCAAAACGAACAAGCAGGTGGGGCCACATGGAGATGCCAAGCGGCGACCTAGTGGCCAAGCCAGCTGCTGGAGAGCCTGTCCTCCTGAGTGCCTCCAGATGCCCTTATTTTGGAAAACATAAAACAAAACAAAAACCCCAAGAGCTGCCAAGTCTAACAATCCCAGGGCTGAGGCCAAGTGGGCGCATTGCAGAAGTACCAACTCCTCCCTCCCCAGTGCTTTCAAGCAGAGACTAAAACGTTACTCACACCTACAGCCAGCCAGTAAAAAGAAATCATTAAATTCTTCACCAGGCTTTCTTTCCACTTAGAAAAAACTTACTAAGTGGCTCAGAGATTAGAGATAAGAGATTCCACTTTAAGACTCGACTAGTTATACAAGCCTATAAAATATGTCAAAAAAACAACCTTCCCAATTAAAAAACAATCCTCCTTTCAGAGCAAAACAAAGTGAGAGCAACCCAAGAAAGATTGCAAAGTCTCACCACATGCCTTCCACACTGAGTGGGCCCAGTAGAGTCCAGGTTCTTGTGTGTAACAAGGAAAGAATGGTCAAGTTTAGAGTTTGTAATACGTAGTAAGTTCTGTGCATGCACCCTGGGATCTTGTTCTTAACAGGTCATACCTGCTTTCCTGGCCAGCTCTGCCATATTCTAATCTGCTAAGTCAGTTTTACAGCTTCATGCCAGGCCAGCCCTGACCCTGGGCACACTGAGCCAGTACCGAGTCCAGGTGTGGTGGCGCACACCTGTAATCCCAGCACTGGGAAGCTGAAAACAGGAGGATCACTACCAGTCTGTGTTGTGTAGTGAGACCCTGTACCAAATACATTTTTTAAAAAAAAATCTCCAAATGACAGAACAGTCTTTTCAATATAGTTAGATTCTTGCGGCAATCTGTCAGTGATTTTGTTTTTAGGTGTATGTTAGTTTGAGACAGGAACTTGCTATATGGTTCAGCCTGGTCCTGAACTCACTATATACCTGGGCTGACCTTGCACTGGTGACAATCCTCCTAAATGCTGGGATTACAGGCATGCACCACCACACCCAGCTCAGTGATTTTGTTTCATTTCGTTTCTTGCTTTGTGGCCTCCCTTCCAGAGCTTTCTGTCTTCCATCTCCAATCAAAGCACCTTACTGTCTATGCCAGACATGTGGCACTTTCCTAGTGGCTTCCCGGGTCCATATTCCAGGGCATCCTGTCATCTGCCCCCCGTTTTCTGGGCCTGCCTTTTCCGGGGGCTCCCTTCCCAAGACTGCCACTTGGTGTTTGCGAGCATCGTTTAGGATGGAGCTGTGCTTCCGGGATGCCAGGCAGAGGTTTTCCTAGGAATGAGCCTACCTGGAGATCTGTGCAGGCCTTGGCTCCGCCCTGGGAGCGCATGTGGGAGGTACATGCCTAGAAATGGCTGCATCCGCTTTGCACATTCCTTTGATGCTTTGCCTGGGAACACAGTGACTTCCCCTCAGAATTTGGAAAGCTTGGCCTTGTCTTCTGGCGTACAGTGCCTGCTTTCAAGAGTCTATCTACTGCTGGTTCCCAATTCTTTGCAGGTAGCCAGAATTTATCTCTGGAAACTCACAGACTGACTGTTTCTGTCTCTGTCTCTGTCTCTCTGGCTCTGGCTCTGGCTCTGGCTCTGGCACTGTCTCTCTGTATCTGTTTCTCTGTCTCTGTCTCTGTCTCTGTTTCTCTGTCTCTGTCTCTGTTTCTCTGTCTCTGTCTCTCTGTCTCTGTCTCTCTGTCTCTCTATCTCTATCACTGTCTCTCTCTCTCTGTCTGTCTCTGTCTCTCTATCTCTCTGTCTCTGTCTCTGTTTCTCTGTTTCTCTGTCTCTGTCTCTCTGTCTCTGTCTCTGTCTCTGTCTCTGTGTCTCTCTCTCTGTCTCTGTCTCTGTCTCTGTCTCTCTGTCTCTGTCTCTCTGTCTCTCTTTCTTTCTCTCCCTCCCTCTATCCCTTCCTCCTTCCCTCCCACTGATGCTTGGAAGCTTCACAGTTATACCTCTCAATGCATTTGATAGGTATTCTT